GAGACAAATACATATGGATGTAAAAGATGTAAAGAAAGATATTATTTAACAAAAGACATGAAATCGTTTAAAATGTGATGATAAATGTGAAACATGTTATGGAACATCTACATATTGTATGAGTTGTTCTAATGATAAATATTTAAGAAATGATAAAACATGTCAATCAAATGAAGAATTAAATGGAACATGTTTACGAATATTAGCAGATGGAAGTGGATGTGGAATATGTCATAAAGGATATTATAGAAATGGGAAAGGATGTTCAAAATGTGGAAAAGAATGTTTAACATGTAATCAAAAAGATAAATGTATAAAATGTGGAGAAGGATATTTTATGAGTTCAACAGGAATATGTAAATCAACAACAACAATTAAAGGATGTAAAGGAGAAATAGATAAAGAATATGGATGTAGAGAATGTTTAACAGGATATTATTTAATAAATAAAGAATGTTCAAAATGTGGAAATAAATGTATAACATGTTTAAATGAGAAAGAATGTAATAAATGTGAAGAAGAATATATAATAATAAATAAAGAATGTATTCATTATTCAAATATTAATAAATGTAAAGAAACAAAAAATAATAAATGTTCAAAATGTTCATTTTGGTATGGAATCAATGAAGAAGGAACAAAATGTAATAAAGAAATAGTATGGTGGATGATAATGATTATTATCATCATTATACTTATTATCATCATTATAATAATTATAATTATAATAATAATGATTAATTACATTATAAAACGCAAAGAAAAGAAAGAACAAGAGAAAACAACAACAATATTTAAAATTTCACAATCAAATATCAAATTCATAACACTTGGAGATGGAATAATAACAAATAAAAAAGAAATAGAAATAGGAGAAGGAGAAGAAATTGAAGTAAATAAAGAAATCAGAGAATTAATATGTATTGGAAATGAAAAGAAAGAAAAAAAGAAAATACAAATAAGTAGTAAAGAAGAAAATGAAAAATACTCAATTAGAACAAACCCAAATATCATTACAATTGAAGGAGGATATGCATGTGAATTTGAAATATTCATTACAATCAAATGTACTACTAAAATTAAAGAACAAATAATGATAATTAGTAAAACACTTAATAAAACACAAGAAGAAATAATTAAAAGTATTTCAATTAAAGGAGAAACACAAATATCAACACGACTTGATCCAGATGAAATAAAAGAAGAACATAAAATAGGAGAAGGATCATTTGGAATCGTATATATAGGAGAATTTAGAGGAAGTCAAGTAGCAATTAAGAAAATGAAACAAATTGATAAAGATGAAAATAAAATGAAAGAATTTGAGAAAGAAGTAATGATGTTAGATAAATTTCGAAGTGAATATATCATTCATTTTTATGGAGCAGTATTTATTCCTAATAAAATATGTATGGTAACAGAATATGCAAAATATGGATCAATACAAGATTTAATTAATAAAAGAACAAACACGGAAATACCAAATAAAATAAGAATTAAATTCATGATAGATGGAGCAAAAGGAATTTCATATCTTCATTCAAATGGAATAATACATCGAGATATTAAACCAGATAATTTTCTTGTTGTAACACTTGATGATAATATTGGAGTTAATTGTAAATTAACAGATTTTGGAAGTTCAAGAAACATTAATATGATGATGACAAATATGACATTCACAAAAGGGATAGGATCACCTATTTACATGGCACCAGAAGTATTGAAACGAGAACATTATAAAATGGAATCAGATATATATTCATATTCAATAACAATGTTACAAATCATTACATGGCAAGATCCATTTCCTAAAACATTATATCCACATCCATGGGATATAGCAAATACAATATCAACAGGTAAACGACCAAAAATAATACAAGAAGTTAAAGAAGATATTAAAGAAATTATTGAAAAAACATGGAAACAAGAACCGAAAGAAAGAATAAGAATAGAAGAAGTAGTAAGAATGTTAGAAAGTATTGAAAATAAAGAATGAAAAGAAACATAAAAGAAATAGAATTAATATATTTCATTTAATTCTATTAAACAATTTAATTTTATTAACATATTTTATCATTTTATTTAATTACAAATAAAGAAATGAACAATAAATAAATTAAAATAGAATACATTCATTCAAAATAACTATATAATAAACAAAATGAAAAATAGAAGAATAAAAAGATACTAAATAACAAGATTGAATACATAAGTATAAATTATAATATAATAAATTTATTTTAATTATATTTGATAGAAATATTAATTGAATTATGAATGATAGAGATATTAATTAAATGATGTGTTTGTTATTTTAATTTTATTATTGATATTGTTTTTATCTTCTTTTCTTTTAATTATAATTTTCATGTTTATCATATAATTTAATTAATTTGTGAATTGAAGATACAATATCAGAAACATAACACAATTAATAAAATGAAATTAAACTTCTAATATCATTATTTATCATTATTTCTTTTATTAAAAATAAATAAATTATTGTTTAATTAATATGATTATTGTTATTCTTCACATTATTAAAATACATTGATGATGTTTAATGATATTTTATAAATCAATGAATTAAATGAAGAAGATTTAAATTGTAGAATATGAAATAAGAATAAAACAAAAGAGATAAAATGAATAATAAAAATGATAATAGATTTAATGATATAAATTCATAAATAAATACATAATTACAATGAATATTAATACAATGAATAATAAAGAATAAAATAATTATAATAAAATGAATTATCAAAACAATGAAATGATGAATATAAAAATAATTATCATTATTTAATTTATTTATTATTATTTCTTATTTAAATATTCTTTTCTTCATATTATTATCATATTTTATTTCTTTATTCTCTCTTTTATTTCTTTTTATTTATTTATTATTTTTGTTTATTATTTATTTCTTTTATTTTATATCTTCTTTTCTTTATTTTTATTTTATTAATTTCATTTTCTTGTTTCATTTGATTTATCATTGTTTCTTCTTTTCTTTATTCTATTTATGTTCTTTATCTATTTATTTATCATTATTTATTATTATTATCTTTGTTAATGTATTTATTATAAATATAATGTAATTTTATTTTGTTTGTTAAAATATCTTAATTATTTCTTATTTTGTTATTTGTTCTTTATTTTTATTTCATTTATCTTTTTCTAAACTTATCATTTTATTCTTATTCTTTTAATTATTCTATTTTACTTTATTCTCTCTTATTTCTCTTCATATTTTATTTTCTTATATATTTTACATTTTCTTTTATCTTTCTTAATTATTCTTTATTTTCTCTTCTTTCTAATTATCTTTCTTATATTTCTAATTTTTCATTATTATACTTTCTTTATACTATTTTATTTTCATCTTCTAGTTAAATTACATTCATTTTATCTTCTATTTTCTTAAAATTATTTCTATTCTTGTTTTTATTGTTTCTTCTATTTCTTCGTTTGTTATTTGTTTATTTTATCTATTTGTTGTTTTCTGCTTCTTCTCTTTTGATTTTTTCTATTTTTGTTCTTTATTTCTCTTATTCTTTATTAAAACATCAATTGATTTATTTATTTCAATTCATTGTTACTTTATTTCATTATTATAATTTCTTGTGGTTATTCTTTAATTCTTTTCTTCATCTTTTAAAATATTCAATTTGATGATATTATTGATTTATTCAAAATAACTTATACTCATTCATTAATGTGTTAGTTATTATTATGTTGTGCATTTATAAAAACATTCATTTCTTATTTATTTGTTGATGATTGTTAATGATATTATTCAATATTCTAATCAATCAATTTATTTATATCCTAATTCTACTATTATTGTTAATATTAATTTCACTTAATAAACACAATTATCTAAAACAACACTAAATTCACTCATTGGTATTTGTGTATTAATTGATATTAATGATGAACATCTTTTAAAACAACACTTCCTTGTTTTAATGATTAATATTGTTAATAATTTCTTGTTATTCTAAAATATTATTTAAAATTACTATTTATCAATTGATTTAACTTCTATTAGTATTGTATTTCATTATTTATTTCTATCTTCTATTGTGTATTCTATATTTTAAATATATTTCATTCTTCTTTTTATTTTAAATATGTTGAATTTAATATTTATTTATTCTTCCATCACGAAATATTTCATCATATTTATTATAAATATGAAGTGTTTCAATATTATCAAATAATTTACTTGAATAATGATTTAAAGAATTGGATTAAAATGAAATCATTCAATATTTCATTGAAATCTTTTAATTCCAATTTCTAAATTAATAAAATCTTTAATATCATTAAAATATTTTGATGTTATCATTATTTCATTATATCCTAATTTCATTATTGATTTATTATTTATTAGTTTGATTGGCAACGAAAAAAAGCAAATAAGAGAAAAATGAAGAGAAAGAATGATATAACAGAAAAAAGTGAAATTAGGAAGTAGAAGAAGATGAAAAGAATAAAAGTAGAATGTTGAGAATATAAAATGAAAGAAGATAAAAATGAATAATTCAAAATGAGATAATAAATGATGAAAATAATGATGAAATAATGGATGTATTTTTTATTATAGAAATTAGAAATATGCAATAAAAAAGCGTTTAATTTATTGATACAAATTATTTAACATTATTTTATTTATGCAATTTATTTTATTCTTTTTTATTTTTATAATTTTTATTTATATGTATTATTTATTATCTTTTTTCTTTTTAATATATTGATTATTTTATTTTATTATTTATTATTCTTTTATTTATTTTTCTCTATTCTTTTATTTGTTCATTTTTATTATATTTATGAAATATTTCATTATTATAAAATAATTTTATTATTTAATTATTTAAATGATTTAAATTAAAATGAATTTATTCTATATTTCATTGATTTCTTTTATCATTATTTTATATTTTAATAATTTCTTTAATATTATCATTTTATATTATTATATTTATTCTTTCATATTTTTATTATTTATTATTATTATTATATTTTTCATTTCTTATTTTATTTTATTTTATTATTAATATTATTTATATTTCTTTTCTTTCTTATTATTCTTCTTTATTCTTATTATTTATTTATTTCTTATTTTTCTATTTTATTTATTTTCATTTGATTCATATTTCATTTCTTGTTTTGATTATTTTGATTTGATTTAATTTTTATTATTTAATATATTTTTGATTATTAATATTTATTTATCATTTATTTATTATTTGTTTTTATTATTATCATTTGATTTATATTTATTATTTATTTCTTTTATTATCTTTCTTTTCTTTATTCTTTATATTATATTCTTATTTTTTATTATTTATTTTTGATTTTAAATGATTGTTTCAATATTATCATTTTATTTATATCTATTATATTAATCTTATATCATTAATTTCTATTATTAAATATTAAATAATCAATGTCATATAATAAAATAATTTAAATAATATATCATTATAAAATTAAATGATTAATAAATGATTTCATAATAAATATTAAATTCATGAAATATTGAATAATATAATATAAAATGATAAATAAAAATAAAAATGATAATAATAAATAAATAATAATACAAAATATAAATAATAATAAATATAAAAATGATATAATACAAATATAATAATCAAATTAATATATAAATAAAAATAAATAATAATAATAAACAAATAATAAAATTGAATATATTTCTTATTAAACAATCGAATAAATAAAATAAATAAAAAAGATAAATAATAACAGAATAAGAATAAAAGAAATATATATAATAAATAAAAATAATAAAAAATAGATAGAAAAAGAAATAAAAAAATAAAATATAATAAACATAAAATAATAAAAGAATAATAAGAAAAGATAAAATAAATAATACAAATAAATAAATAATAAAATAATAAACATAATATTTATATTAATAAAATATTAATTAATATAATTAATAAAATCAAATATAACATATATAAATAATAAATATGATAAATAAGAATAAAATAAACACAAAAATAAGAAATAAAATAAATAACAAAAATACAAAAACAAATATATTCAAATAAAAAATAAAATAATATAAAAAAGAAGAGAAAAGAAGAAAAATATAATATATAATCAAATATAAATGTTATATGATTAATATATAATTGTAATATATAATAAATAATAATTTCATATAATATAGATAGAAGATATAAAAATTAAATAAATAATAATAAATAATAAAGAAATAATAAGAGAAAAGAAATGATATAATAATAAATAAAATATATAAAAGAAATAATAAATAAAATCAATATAATATAAATAAAATAATGATAAATATAAAGAGAAAATAGATATAAATTATAAAAAATATAATCAAAATAAAAATAAGATAAAGAAATGTATTAATATATAAGAAATTATATATAAATAAAAATATAATAATATATAAAATAAAATATAAATAATAATAATATCAAACTAATAAAATATGATAAATATAAAATATAAAGATAATATGATGATATATATAATATAATAATAAAAATAAATATAATAATAAAATATATAAATATATAAAATAAAATACATAAATAAAATAATAATAAAATAATAATAAAAATGTATACTTACATTGAATCAAATATCATTTCTGAATCATTTATAATTCAGAACAATTAATCATAAAATGATATAAAATATAAAGAAATATAAATGAGTATAGAATGATTATTTAATTTACTTTTTTATTTTTTATTTTTTTAGGAGCAAAATAATAAAAACTATTATTTTATTGATTCAAAATATTTTGCCCTTTTCTTTTTGGAGTTTTTTTATTTAGATGCATTGTTTCTTTGCTTATTTTGGTTCCCTATCATCAACATTGTTTAAATAATCTTTATTGATAACACATCATGTATTCAACTCAAAAGTATAATGATAAATATATTGTATCATAAGAAATAATAATACTACAAT